ATAGAAAAAATAGTGACATATACAAAAGGCTCAGAAACATATTTACATACCAGAGAAATCTAGTATAATAGAGATTGGCATTAAACAAAAAGGAGATTATGTAGTCAATTGTGTTTTGAAAATTAAATCCTTTACTCAGATAACATTGTTGGACCCCTGTCCACCTCATGTAAAATATAAAGCTCAAGTGGAATAAATATTTTATTATAGAAATAAGACAATAAAGCTGATAGAAGAAAATGTAGAAGTTGTATAAAGAACAAAAAATTTCATCCAAAACAAATAGAAGGGACATATAGTAAAAAATACAAGGAAGATATAGATAAAAATTGAAATCAATACAACAGAAAACAAGAAAAATGGAGAAAAAGGAAGCAAAACCTGGGTAACACTAGAAAGATAAATTAAATTAATAAATCTCAATGAACATTGACCAAGAAAAGAAGAGAGAAGATAGAAGATACCAATAACAACCAAGAAAGATGTCACCCTTCAGGCAATAGGGGATATATATTTTTTTAATTTTATTTTAATCATTGTTCAAGTACAGTTTTCTCCCTTTTACTCCCATTCCAGCCCACCCACCCAACCATCCCCAACCCCCTCCCATTACCGCCCTCCCCCTAGCTTTTGTCCATGTGTCCTTTAAATTTGTTGCTGTAAACCCTTCCCATTCTCCCCTGAAATTCCCTCTTCTCTCCCCTTTGGTCACTTTCAGCCTGTCCTCTATTTCAGTGTCTTTGGTTATATTTTGCTTGTTTCTTTGTTTTGTTGTTTAGGTTCCTGTTAAAGGTGAGATCATATGGTATTTGTCTTTCACTGCCTGGCTTGTTTCACTTAGCATAATGCGCAATGGGATATTAAGAAAATATTTTGGAAATTTCATGCAGAACTGACTCTTCAGTGAATAAAGCAAAATCCTACTAAGTTTTTTGGTAAACTTCATTGCCAAAAAAATAACAATTTCTTCTGGTCTCTGGCTGTTTGGCTTCCAAAGCAAACTCCAATCTTTCAAGCCCATACCAACAAGAAACAGGCTGTAAAAGTTGGGAAGCCCCCAGGAAAGACACATTCTCCAACATCTACTTTAAATGTACACATGCAGGATAACGGCAGGAACATCCCAGAAGGCACAGTTTCAGCCCACGGATAACAACAGACAAAGAGGTCTTCTCCCAAAGCAGAACCAGAGTCCAAGTAAATCACCTTCTCCTATTTCCAGCTTGGGGAGCCTGCACATTTACTGCCTGGCAGGATTTGGTAATCACCAGAAACCAGTGACCACTGTGTGTTCTGCATGCTTCCCTTTTGTAAATGTCAGTTTGTACTGCGTTTATCTTATTGGTTGTGGAGGAGGGCAGACAGCTTGTTAAATTATAAGAATCCCTATCCGATCTTGATGGAGAGGATTCACATCACTCAAATGTCATGAACTTTTAACCTGGATGCTGTAATCATATGGGGTATTTGCAATGTCTTCCTTTGGGAGAGGACAAATACGTTCTACATGAAAAAGAAGAGCTCATGAATATTTGGGTGGCAGAAAGGGAGCAGAGATAGTTGTTCACCAGTGTCTACTCTCCCTCTCATTACATGATAGTTTAGCTGGGTTCATGGCTATGCAGCTACAACAACTTTTTTAGCCCCTTTGAAGCTAGGTATGGCCACATGACTAAGTTCCATGATAAGAGAGGCTAAGTATGCCTAAAGAAGCTATAAAGGAATAGAAGGAACCATTAGGAGTTTATTTAAGATATTTTGCAGAAAAGTATGTACAAAGTTATCCCTACTTTATATATACTAAATTTTCTTAAGTCAACATCATTTATACTTTTGGAGCTAGATTTCAATTTTTGGAAGGAGTAATGATAGGTTAAAATTAACCTTGAGGTGGGTAGCAAGAAGCCCAGGAGAGCTACAGTATATTAAATCCTAGTAAGAAATAAAGACTGAAAGAGTACTAGAGACCTAAGTTATTAAACTTGTTTCTACTAAGTCAGGGAGAGGGAGAAGGATGACAAAGAAGGCTGGAGTCAGTGAAGGTACATGCTGACATTACTGTTTTGGACAGAGCAGGACTGACTTACTTTCCACCAATGGCAGGAATGATGTTATGGATTAATTTTGCCTTTTCACATTATTAAATTGTTTAAGACAAAAGGCAAAGCTCCTTTGCTTGAGTTATGAACATTTTTCACCTTCAAGACTTGATTATAAAGAAACAGCAGCTGAGAATGAAGGAGTAGATCAGATCACCTAATTTGGGCCATATTTCTTTTTTTAAATGTATTTTATTGATTATGCTATTACAGTTGTCCCATTTCCCCCCTTTATTCCCCTCTGCCATGCACACTCCCTTCCACCCACATTCCCCTGTTTTAGTTCATGTCCATGGGTTGTACATATAAGTTCTCTGGCTTCTACATTTCCTACACTATTCTTAACCTCACCTTGTCTATTTTGTACCTACCATTTATGCTACTTATTCTCTGTATCTTTTCCCCATCTCTCCCCGTCCCACTCCCCCACTAATAATCTTCCATGTGATCTCCATTCCTGTGATTCTGTTCCTGTTCTAGGAGGTCCTTGCCTGTCATGACTTGGAATACTTCTTTCCAGCCCCTTCTTGCCTGCAAGGTTTCTTTTGAGAAATCAGCTGATGGTCTTATGGGAACTCCTTTGGAGGCAACTGTTTCCTTTTCTCTTGCTGCTTTTAAGATTCTCTCCTTATCTTTAATCTTGGGTAATGTAATTATGATGTGCCTTTGTGTGTGCTTCCTTGGGTCCAACTTCTTTGGGACTCTTTCAGCTTCTGGACTTCCTGGAAGTCCTTTGCCAGACTGGGAAAGTGCTCCTTCATTATTTTTTCAAATAAGTTTTCAATTTCTTGCTCTTCTTCCTCTTTTGGCACCCCTGTGATTCAGATGTTGGAACATTTACAGTTGTCCAAGAGGTTCCTAAACCTGTCATCTTTTTGAATTCTTGTTTCTTCATTCAGTTCTGGTTGGTTGATTATTTCTTCCTTCTGCTCCAAACTGTTGATTTGAGTCCCTGTTTCCTTCCCTTCACTGTTGGTTCCCTGCATATTTTCCTCTATTTCACTTTGTGTAGGCTTCACTTCTTCTTCTATTTTGTGACCATACTCAACTATTTCTGTGAGCATTATGATTACCAGTGTTCTGAACTCTGCATCTGATAGGTTGGCTATCTCTTCATCACTTAGTTCTATTTTTGAAGATTTGATCTGTTCTTTCATTTGGGCCATATTTCTGTCTCAGTGCACCTGTTGAGCAGTAATGTGCGGAGCCTTAGGTATTCACCATGGTGGGGCCACCCATGTGGCTGCGTGGTGGCACTGTATATGGGGGAGGGGTCCTAGAGGGAGCAATGCTGCTTGCTTGGCTCTCAGTTGGCTTTCAGTCACTTTCCCTGCTACCCACAAGCAAATTGGGCCCTTCTGGTGCTGATTTCCAGGTGGGTAGGTTTGTGTACACTCTAGGACCTGATGGGTCTCTCCAACGAACTCTCCTCTGAGGCTGGGAGTTTCTCCCACTGCCACAACCCCTACATATTTTTTCAGCCAGAGGTTTTGAGGCTTTAGTTTCCTGAACTGGAACCCTGCGTCCCAATAAATATCTTGCAGGACAAGCCCCAACCCAGCATCTACTTCCAGAGAACCCTACGGGGATGTTTGGGAGCCAAAAGTGACCTCAGAACCCTGGCAAGAAGATAGCCCATTTGCCACCTGGCTGGCAATGAGGATCTTTGTTTCTTAGTCTGGACAGTTAGGGTGATCTGGCTAAGGCAAGGCTCAGCAAAATCTCTTTTTAAATTTCATCTTGCTGTCTGGCATGCTAGCTGTAAAGTTGCCCTTGGCAGTTCTGGAGAGGCTTCCTGGGCTAGTAAAAAGACTTGTTCAGTGATGGGTTCTCCATCTTTGTAATAAACCAAATTTGACATCTCAGCCAATCTCTGAATCCAACACGCTTCAATGTGTTATGAAAATCATGTTTTGTTTATTTATTTTTCAGTTGATTGTAGGCTTTGGCTTGTTTTTCCTTTTATTTACATTCCTGTTTCTGCATTTATACCTGGAAGCAATTTGGCAAGCAAGTGATATATTTTAAGATTAAGTAAGATCTTACTGTTTTTACTCACAGAATATGGTCTTTAAAAGGAGCTATCTTATTTTAGTCTATATGAAAGACTTATCAATGGGTTTTGAAATGAGTAAAATTAACACTCTCAATAAACAGAACCAAAATCATGGCCATTGGTCCTCATGCAAACAAATTCGAAAGTATCTCCTGGCTTTGACAGTCCTTCCTTCAGCAAGAGCACAGAGCAGGACCCAAAATCTGGGAGTCAATTTAAGGTATTTGCAAAGATTGTTCAAAGTCCAAGTTCCCAAACTCTGAAATCCATTAACATCACCACAAAGTTCTGTTAATAACTGTTAGTAACAGTTATTGTGGTGAAGGATTGAGGTAAGAAAAAATCCTTTCAGCTCCCTGAAAATGAGCTTTCTGTACAATGTAGTAAGTTGAATAGTAAACCCAAAAGGACAGGTTCAAATCCTAACTCCCCATATCTGTGAATGTGACCTAATTTGGGAAAAGGGTAATTTCAGATGTCATTAATGATCTTGAGATGAGCTCTACCTGGATTTAGGAGGACCCTAAATTCAGAGACTGTTGTCTTATACGAGAAAGAAAATGGCGATTTGAGACACTGGGGTGAAGCCCATGTGAAGACTGAGGCAGAGATTGGAGTGATATGTCTACAAGCCAAGGAACTAGGAAAGATATGGAACAGATTCTTCTTCAGAGCTTTCAGAAGGAACCAACCCAGCTAACACCTTGATTTAGGATTTCCAGCCTCCTAAACTGTGAACTAATAAATACTTGTTATTTTAAGACACCCAGTTTGCATTAATGGGTTTGTGGTAATTTGTTATAGCACCCACAAGAAACTAATATAGACAGAAAGTTGCTACTTACTTTCACGGTGCCACAGGCTGCCTGTTGGCTGAGCTGAGCTTTGATTTCGGGCAGGACTGAGTGTACTTTGAAGAGCCTGTGTATTAATGTAGCAGGGGTCATCGAAGAGATCCACTCGACATGTGTGCTTCAACAGTGAGGTGTCTATTTGGGACTGCACCCCTCTCTCATGGGCATTACCTGTAGCGATTGGTCATGATCAGTGCATGATGCTTTGCTTTATAAATAATAAATAAAATCATCTTTGAGTCTAGAATTGATAGGAAGCAAAAAGCCACCCCCACCCCCTAAAAGGATCAAATATTGACCTTTGGATTTGACCTGTAAAAATAAGATAAGCCCTGGTCTTTGAGGGAAAGCTCCCTCTCCTTGGTCTCCCTGCCCCACTGCTTCAACGACAGACAGAACAGGACCCAGAAGATCACAAAGAAGAACACCCTGGCAGGAAAAGGCCAACTGCCCAGCAAACAGCACCAACCTGCAGACACACTGCTCAGAGCTGCAACCCAGGAAGCAAGAAAGCACACATGCCACGTGGAACTTGAATATCAATTTACATTCCTTGTCAAAAAACTGAATACTTGATTTAAAATGATTAAGAGTGGGAAGTCTCTCTTCTCTCTATGCCCAAAGTTTTGTCCTGCCCAGCTCAGCCTTGCAGCAACTCCTGAGGTTCACTCTGTTATTTAACAAGGATTCAGTCTTCAGGTTATCTCCTCCTCCCACTTACTCTGTCCTCTCCTCCTCCACTTTCTACATATTATGGCCAAATGACTGTTTTACATTTTATTTTATTTTTTATTTTAGAGAGAGGGGAAGGGAGGAAAAGAGGGCAAGAAACACAGATGTTGAGAGAGAAACATCTATTGGTTGCCTTCCATACACACCCCCAGGATGTGACCTTTTTCAACAGAGGGGCAGGGAGGAAGAAAGAGAAGGAAACATCAACATGTGAGAGATACACTGACTGGTTGCCTCTTTCACGCCCCCAACTGGGGATCTGGTCCGCAACCAGATTTGTGCCCTGACTGGGAATTGAACTGGCGACCTTTTGGTTCACAGGGTAGTGTTCAGTCCACTGAGCCACAACAGCCAGGGTGAAAAATGACTATGTTAGAACTGAAAATTTGATCATATTTTTCAGAGGTTCAAAACCCTTTAATTCCTTTCCATTGCATCTTCAAATAAAGCTCAAAATCATCAACAAGCCCTAGGCCCTACTCCTGGCCACCTGCCTTCCCTTGTAACCCTTCTCCCCCCTAGTGTCTGCCAGGGCTCACATTGGTCTTCTTGCAGTATAATATTCACCTCAAGACCATCTTCTATGATTGACATGCTCTTCTCTCCCCTTCTCCATCATCCTCACCCTTCAGGTGTCAGTTTAAACATCACTTTCTCAAGAGAGCCTTCTCTCACCTTCTCAGATAAGACTAAGTCTCTCTGCTTTCTGAGAAGTTTGTACTTGACCTTTGAAGCCCATGTCACAAGTGTAGTAAGTTCTGTTGCTTATGTTATTATTTTTTAACATGTGTGCTACATCTACACTGCATGTTCCATGAAGAGAGGGATCCTGTCTCTCCTGTTCATGGCTGCAGACTCCTGCTCCTAGCTCATGCCTGCACAGAAAGTGGCATCAACAAATAGTTACTGGATGAATGGATATTAGCACCATATTTCACTACCTGATGGCAGGTAGTTAAAGTGCTTTGTACTATCCAGATGGTTCTGTCCTGAGAATGCCAGGATAGAATATTTTTGCTTTTCTGTTGTAACTAGTACATTTATAGTTGTGGCTGTCTGTGCTACAGGATGACCAGGAGGTTGCACATGAAGTGGTGGCATTGACATTCCATTATCTCACCATAAAGCAACATCTGTCCTTCTATTGTTTCAGTTACGAAACCCCTTCCATATGGTCCACACAGGACTGACCTCATATTGAATTTCACATGGTGCAATGACTCTTGTAACATATAGAATGGCAACCCGAGAGTACAGCCGCAAGGGGAAGCCCAATCAGAAGACAATAGTTCTTACTACCTGCTCCTCCTTCACACCTTGTCTGTCTATCAGCATTCTGTGTCACCTATGGCATGTCATAGTCTGTTTATGGGATATCCTGAGAAAGGACCGGGTTTTCTACTGAGGAAGGAGTTGAGTAGGCATCTCATTTTTGCAGGATTTTACAACATATGACAGTTTCCATTTGCTTGGTTAAGTTACTTCATGAAATGTATTATTTAATTTAAACTAAACTTACTTTCGCAAATAAATACATGATCACTGCAAAGAAATCAAGGACTGAAGATTATTTTTCTTAGTATGATCTCCTCCTTAGATGTATTAGAACATATAAATAAGAATAATCTAATCTGATCCAAACTTTGACCTACCAAAAGTTAAAATTATTAAGATTTGAATGTAGATTTATATCAATTTTCTTTATCGATAAATGCTTTAAATGTATATCAAGCCTTGAGATATTATCTAATGATAGTGTTCAGCCAATGTAATTAGCAAGACTTTAAAAAATGTTTATCATTAACTTTAACTTTGAAACTTTCTATTTTTGTGTTTTGTAATTCATGCATATATATTAGAATATGTATTGATAACTTATACATAATTGAATGATCACTTATTTAGGAGTGCCTGCTCATAAAAATTTACTGAAAGTGCTGCTATGAACATTGGGGTGCAAAGGTTCTTTTGTATTGGTGTTTTAGTGTTCTTAGGATATAGTCCCAACAGTGGAATTGCAGGGTCAAAAGGCAGATCCATATAGCTAGGTGCTGGAAGCAACCTAACTGCCCATCAGTACATGAATGGATCAAAAAACTATGGTACATTTACACAATGGAATTCTATGTAGCAGAAAGAAAGAAGGAGTTCCTACCCTTTGCAACAGCATGGATGGAGCTGGAAAGCATTATGCTAAGCAAAACAAGCCAGGCAGTGAAAGACAAATACTATATGATCTCACCTTTAACAGGAACCTAAACAACAAAACAAAGAAACAAGCAAAATATAACCAAAGACAATGAAATAGGGGACAGACTGACAGTGACCAGAGGGGAGAGAAGAGGGAATTTCAGGGGAGAATGGGAAGGGTTTACAGGAACAAATTTAAAGGACACATGGACAAAAGCTAGGGGGAGGGTGGTAATGGGAGGGAAGTGGGGAGGGTTGGGTGGGTGGGCTGGAATGGGAGTAAAAGGGAGAAAACTGTACTTGAACAATGATTAAAATAAAATTAAAAAAAATAAAAAATAAATAAAATGGCATTATGCCCTAAAAAAAATTTACTGAAAGTGGAATATGATCTAAAGGGTTTGCAAGCAGTGTGCATCTAAATTAACATGAACCTGACTTCAGATCCCTATGTTATTTGTGTGGCCTGAAGCATGTTACTTAACCTAAGTGTCAGTTTTCATCTATGTAAAATGGGGGTGCCTAGCTTAAAATACAGCTGTGAGGATTAAATGAAAGAATGTGGGTGAGACACCCACTAAGCATAGTGCAAGGGTGTCAAACTCATTTTCACCAGGGGCCACACCAGCCTCGTGGTTGCTTTCAAAGGGCTGGATGTAACTTTAGTACTGTATGAATGCAACTACTCCTTAACTAGGGGTAAGGAGCTCTACACGAGGCTGATGTAGCACCCGGTGAAGATGACTCTGATGTCCCTGGCATAGTGCCTGCCTCATAGCAGGCATTCAGTAACTACTTCCTATCAAAGCTCAGTTGTGTATTTATGCATTGATGCTGGACCTCTGCACCTGATGCGTATCTGTGACTGTCATATTCTCCCATTCCTTTCTTTACCTAACTTCAACTTATCTTCTAAGGTTCTGCTCTGCCCTGGCCAGGTGGCTTAGTTGGTAGGAGCACCGCCCTGTACACCAAAAGCTTGCAGGTTCCATTCCCAATCAGGGTACATATAGGTTGCAGGTTCAATCCCCAGACAGGGAGCATTTGGGAGGCAACCAATCAATGTCTGTCTGTCTCTCTTTCTCTCCCTTCTTCTCTCTTTAAAATCAATAAACATATCTTCAGGTAAGAATTTTTTTAAAAATATTCTTCTCTGACCCACCTCCTCCAGGAAGGCTTCCCCTAAGTTCCTCCTCCCCCCAGGCTGGTCAAGGTGCTGGTCTCTGACGTGCTGTAGGTATCTGTTTACTTGTCTGTCTTGCTCTTGAGATTACAAACTCCCTGAGTCCTTGAGGAGAGACTAGAATCGACTCACCCATGTATCTCCTTCATCTACAATGCCTGGTCAAAATCAGATGCCCAGAAGGAAAACATGTGCCAGCTGAGTGAACAGATGACGAGTGTCTCCCCATTTCGACCCCAGCATGTTTGTTCTAAACACCCCAAGCCAGCCTTCAGCACCGGGCGCTGACCCGCCTGCCCCTCTCGGGGCGCTGACATGAGCTGACCACATCAAGCCTGCCGTCCCACGGGGCTGCACAGAAGTGCCAATGTCAACACCTGGTCTGTCTTGAAAACTACCCTTCTTTTTTTTTTTTCCAAATGTGCCACTATATTTAAGTCAACAGTCTTGTCTTAAATTTAAAAAATAAAAAAGAGATATCTCACCCTGTACCCAAACTTAAAATCTTTCCAGGGTGAAGTGTGTGGTGGATGAGGCTTAACCACACACGCCACCCATTACGCATTCCAAAAGTTCTTTGTGCCAAGCATTACTCTGAGAACCCATCCAACCAGCCTACAAGAAGATTTGTGGCAGAAAATAAATACACGCACAGTGTATATATTGTAAGTACCAATGTTTTTAAGTGCCAGCCCTTAGGGTTTGTGGGAATTTAACATCTTTCTGATTAAAAATATCAACATTTCCATTTTAACTTGAAAGCTGGGAAACATTATTCTATTTTGCTAATTATTTTTTCCATAAGGGAATTTGTTACTAAGGATAGGTATATTTTTATATAGCTGGCAATAAATACCATTAACTCCTTCAACAACCAGAAGCCTATTGCTTCTGGAATTCAAGTGTGGGAGGAAATGTCTTGGGAGGAAAAAGCAAAACCTCATTGAAAATATTTGTATAGGTGTCTCTCAAATGCTTATGTATGAATCTCTGGGAAAAGACATAAAATATCTATTTGCTATTCTAGCAACTGCTATGAATTTGCTCATTGGTCAAGAGGTTCAGATCACTGTTTAAACATATGCCCAAGCAATCACAGGTGGGCCCCAAGGCAGGACACCTGGTTTCTGGGTGTCTGCAGATGAAAGGACATGGAGGTAGGAAAGTCCTTCCTGCCACAATGGGAAAAGCCACACAGGTGTCGTGGCCCCTGGAGCAGGGCCTCAGTCTTTCTATCCCTCAGAGCCTCAGTGACTGAGGTCAGGGAAAGGGTTTCCAGCATTCTGGTTCCCATTAGAAGTGGGGGACCTGCTTGTTTAAAGAAACAGTGTTGTAGCTCAGTGCTTGACCCACTGGACAACAGTCACTGGGTGAACTATTGAATAAATGAAGACTATAAAATGAGATAAAAACAAGGCATGGGGTCGACTCCAAGAGCGCTTCAGCACCTGCAGATGTTACGATACAATAAGGCACGTGTGCTGTGCTCCTGGCTGCTGGGTCCTTGGGTGAGGGATTCTGGAGTAAGGAAAAGGAGGGAGGGAGGGAGGGAGGGAGAAATGATGCCTCCTGGGGAGCATAGTTTTAAAAAGACATTTACATTTACCGTCAATTTACTTTGCTTTAGTCATATTATTAAGAATTAGTTTAAAATTGTATATGACTTTAAAGAATGGCATGAAGTTTTCACTCCATCAAAAGAAGCCATGTTTTTAAAGAATTTTAAATACTGCATTAGCTCACTACTCCTATTATTTTTGCAGGTTGGATGAAACTGGTAATTATAGCTGTACCAAAAAATAATAAATCCTCATGTTCCCCTACTGTATAAAAATTTAAAAAATTAATAGATTACATTGGCATAATTCCTTAAGAAATACAAAAGTATCCTTGGAAGCAGCTACCTTCTACATGGCCAGTTCCTGCTAGTTTAATTAGCATCCTTAAGTGTGGTTATCCAACTCTACCCTCCTCTGTATTATTTGCACTGCCCAGTTAACTCCCCCTGTAAAGCTGCAAAACTTTTCTTCCCGAATAAATAAATATTTCCAATGATTTATAAGACTGCAAGGACTCCTTGTCAGTATGCCTTGTTTTTATGAAAATATATTTCCAATCTGATAGTTGCTGCCTTGCATTGGGTGTTGCTGCCTTGCACTGTGGAAAAGCAAGCCTGAGGGGGGCGGGCGGAAACCATAATTGGGACTCTCACATTTCAGATTTCTTTTTGTTGCCTTTGCTAAGCAGAAATAAACGTTTTCTACTGATCCTAATGGCTTTGACAAGCATTAATTTTCACATTAGCCTACTGTCTCATTTTTGAAGTGGGGGGTCCCTGAAGTTTTGAGTAAAGAAAGCACCTTTTCAGTGAGAGCTTTCATGATGTGACGGCAGTGAAAGACCCCACAAGGCAGGAGAATGGTGTGGTAGAAGGAGGAACCCACGCCTCCAAGTGACACACATGTGGCATTCAGTGTCTCTCAGCACGTGGGAAGCCTGCTGCGGAAGTAGTGTGTGTTCAGTTACATGCACCTGCCTTTCCCATGAAGTGTTTAAAAGGAGGGTCCACATATGACCACGTGACTTAAAGGGAATAAGGAGATGCCCTGGCTGGTGTGGGTCGGTTGGTTGGAACACCATCCTGTAGACCAAAAGGTCATAGGTTCAATTCTCCATCAGACACACATCTAGGTTTCAGGTTCAGTCTCGGTCAGGGCACGTACAAGAAGGCAACCGATCAATGTTTCCCTTTCACATCTCTGTCTCTGTCTATCTGTCTCTCTCTCTCTCTCTCAGCAATGAAAACGAACAAGAAGGCACCAGTTGATGTTTCTCTTTCACATTTCTCTCTCTCAGCAATGAAAAGAAAAAAAAAATATCCTCAGGTGAGGATAAAAGAAAAGGAGTAAGGAGAGTGGCAGCCAGGGAGGAGTGACTGCACCTACCTGTTGCCCCGCTTTGTTCCAAACAGTTCTCATACACGCTGCTGCACTTGGAGTTCCCAGGCTGTGCAAACGACAGATCATGAAACATTTACAAACATAGCATATGTTCCTAAACTTCAAAAACAAACACAACTCCCAGCAGCATATAGCAGACAACTTCACTTTCTGATACAGGAAGTGTCTGATAATAAAAAAAAAAAAAAGGGAGGGTGAGGTTTGGGGTGGGGAAAGGGTAGACTCCTTTCAACAGTGCATTGTTTTGGAGCTGCGGAGAAGAGTCATCCAGGTTGCCACTGTAGGGCTCATGTCCTGAGGGACATTGCTTCTGCTTGGGAGGTCATATTCCAGGACACAATCCAAGCCTCAGCAAGAAAGTGTGACTTCCAGGACAGTTGTATAAGCACTGGACAGTTAGCAAACCTCTTTCCAACCATAAAGTGGCAGATTGGAGCTCTACTCTGTGGAGGTTTGTGCCAGGCTCACTCTTCATACTTAAAAATCTCATGCTCTTTTCAGTAATGGAATGGGATCCACTGATGCTTTTAAGAAGGAGTGTCTTTGCTTTGGAATGATTAATCTGACAGTTTTGTGCAGGACCATTTGGGGAAGTGAAATTAGACATAAGGAAGGGGCTTTCAGAATCATCTGGGCAAGTGAGGACCAAAACTTAGAAAGATGCAATAGGAATGCAAAAGGTTAGATATACTCAAAAGACATTTTCAGGATAGAACCCTAGGTCTGGAGGATTGTTGATATGGCGCTCAAAGTGGGAGAAACACAAAAGACTGTATAGATTACACAAAAAGCAGCAATGCTGTTATTTAACGTGAGTGAATCAGTAGAGAAATCTGGTTTGGAGGCAAGGACAAAATGCTCAGTTCAATACTGACATAAACAAGCAATGTAATGTTTGAGGCATGACAGCGGGAGAGAGAGGCAGCAGCTGGAAACAGAGAAGCTGCAGGAGTATACACATAGGTGGCAGGCCTCAGGAGAAGTCAGGGCCAAGGGCAGGGCACTGGAGTGTGCTTTCTTATTGGTGAAGCAGGGGCTTGGATTCCCAGAAGAGGGGTTGGATGCAAGAATACAAGATACAAAAAGAAAAGATGCAACATACTTTGAAACGCATCAAAAATAAGATGGACTGATGGATGATACATGACTACATAGGATAACATAGTAATTATAGTAAAATGTTCATTGTAGAATCTAGATGGTGAGTATATGAGTGTTCACTGTAAATTTTTTTCAACTTTTCTGTATGTTTGAAAATTTTCATAATAAAATTTGGAAAATATGACAAAAAAAGAAAAACAGCAACTTGAGATGCAAGATCAGTATCACACAATGAAAACATTTTAGAGGCTAACAGGAGAGGTCTAAAAAAAGAATAAGAAGAAAGCAACAGGTATCAAGTGCTGGAGATAAATTCAAAATATTGAGGAAAGAAATATATTTAGCAATTAAATCATTGATGATCACTGTCAAAGTAATTTCTATCAAGTTGTTAAGTAGAGTTCAGATCTTGAAAGTGTAACACAGATTTGAACACAGAGGTAAAGACAGTTTTTTTCTAGAAGTTTGTGGGTAGAAGACAGATGAGCGGGTGGGGCACTATTAGCTGGCTTGGAGGAGTCCAATTATTTGTAGACAGAAGGGAAAGAACTGGTAGACAGAGGGAGAACAAGGATTGAGACAGAGGTTGATGGACAGAACAAGAGCACAGAAGTGGCAGGAAGGGATGGGATTAGGAGCTCAGGGGAAAGAGTAGTTGTGGAGACAGTAACTAAGGAAAAGAAGCAAAGAGGACACAGGAAGACTTGGAGATGGGAAAGCGTGAAGTTGAGGATAACACGTTGGACTGCCCTATGGTTCCCAGTGAACTGAGCGGTGAGGTCAGCTGCTAGGGCTGAGGTTGGGGAATTAGGAGTCAAAATGATCTACTCCAGGCTTCATCAATGATTCACCCTCTGGCTCTGTACTGAGGAAGATGATACTTTCTCTAAACTAGCATTTGGAAACCCTCAAATTAAGCTCTCTAATGATAAAAACAGAATCTCATTGCTAGTTCCAATAATAATAAAACATTCACTTACCAAATAGCACAATTTTTCACACCGTATTGGGCAGTAAGCCATTTGTTCTGGGGCTTGAACTTTGATCCGCACATCTGAAATGCCACCCACAGGTGGCTGCTTTCCTGGTATTTCATTGTAATACTCATGATCTTCTCTCTCCTCCACATGGTCGTCAATATGCACCTCCTCGCTGTAAGGGAAAAAAAGAATCCCCAAGAGGCTGGGCGGGAATTCAAATGCTGTAGGGGATGCAGAGGGATCAGAACCATGCAAATCATCCTGAAAAACTAGGCATTCATGTTGTAAGTTTACAGATGTGCTTAAGTAATGTCGAACATCTGGGTGGAAGCAACCAGATGGCTGAATTGTTTAGATTTCTGCAGACAATTAAAGTGGGGTAAGCCAACCAAAATGCCAAGGGTGATGTTTTTGCGTTTTTCCCCCTCCAGTAACTAAAAAAATATATACATACACACATTTATGAACTCCTTGAATGTAAGGCATTTTGCCAATAGCATACAAAAATGCTAAGTTTTCCTGGGTATCTGCAGCATGCTTTGTACCATTGTATGAATGCTTTATTTAAAGGAAATGTAGATATTAGGCAGAGGACCTGGCTCAGTTTTTTAAACCAAGATGAAAAAAATTAAAAAGTTATGGCCAGCTATCTCGTCTGCGCAGATCTAGAGGAGAATACAGGATTCATGAAGAAGTACTACAACCATATGTGGCAAGAAGATAGATTTATGTAAACATGCATTGTTTTTAAAATTGAAACAGGGCAAAAAAATAAATGTACTTGTCGTCCAAACTGGAATTAGTAAAAGTTTCGTATGAAAAGGAGCAAATCAAGTCCTTTTGGCTCAACCGACTCGGCCGACGACACACGCAGTTTCGCTGGGCTCCTTACCCGCCCACGAAGGCGCAGCACTGAGATGTGAGCGCTGCCTGGGGGCGAGTCAATGACCAGTCCTCCCGGTAACCACCGCTCCTTCACTACGCCCGACCACCTCATAAAGGGCGCCTCCAAATCCAGTGTTTTTTGATACACAAAGTGACAAATTATTGGGAGAAATGTATTTAAAAGTGCCCAAGAGTTCAATTTCTCAGGTGTGAATTCTGCTAGCCAGGGGCCTCACTGCATCCCACTGGCCTGAAAGCGTCCAGCGGCAGCCCGTCTGCACCTCAGAACGACTGGGACCTCGGGCCGCACTGCTTGGGCCCACGGTTTGGCTGGGGCTGATCTGTTTACACTGCAAACCAGCAAACTAACGGGAATTCTTGAAATAGACTCATTATTTTGCTCTTCATTCTTGATTTTTTTTATTGCTATGCTAAGGATTTGGGGTTGAAATAAATCTGAGATATTTATTGATGCTTATTACTTTATGATGCTATTTAATGAATTCACAGTTCTGTATAACATGGCTGAAACATGGCTGACCCCTTCTCACTTTCAGTGTCTCTTTTAAATTTGTTACAGATCAAAAGGAACTATCTGGACAAATATGAATGGAACAAAAATATTAAATGTTATAATGACTTTGTACTGAAACTGCCTATTTATAAGAAAAAATTACTCATTTTGTTAGTCAACTTTAAAATGCCGTATTAATTTTAAAATTAAACAAAATATAGTAAGTCAAATAATTATAGAACTCTTGGCTGACCTTTCACAAGAAGCATTCAAAGAAGGATTTTTCAAATATTGTTTAAACCGGAGCTCAAAAGCCTGCCCTATGGTACTTATGACATCCTGGGCCATTCCGTTGTGGCACTCCAGTATGTGGCAGGCTGCAAAAGGACACACGAAAAAATTAAAACAGGTTTTTAGTGAGAGCAGATTATATGAAATCAAAATCCTTCCAGAGCATGAACTGGTGGTTGAAGAAAAGGGTGAGGTTTACAAGCTCTATTCAACAATTAAATGACATAATAGTACTTCACATTCCACATGCATCAAAGAGAAGACACACTCACATTTTATATCTAAATATCTCAAAACACAAATTTTGCTCTCACGGCAGGTATTTTGGGCCTATGTGTTTATAAAAGTAGGATGATTTTGACTAATACTCAAGTTCAGTGTTAGCTCTCAAATTCAATGCAAGAAATGCTTAGGACAGCAACCTTTAGGGAAGATCAGGTTTTCAGTCTGGTCCTTGCATGGTACTCTACAGAAGATTGAAAAAAGGTAACTTTCCATACCTCTCCTCTCCCCCCTAAAGGGGTGTGACCTGCTAGTGAAGACTGAGGCTTCAGAAGACCCCTCCTCTAGCCATCCCTCTGCCCTCTCACCACCGGCAGTGATGCGATGGTAATCCCCATCCTTGAAACCCTATGAAACATCTGTCTCCAATAAGCATCAAAATCAAGATTTTGTGATGCTGACATTACCAGAAGATACCACTATTTTATTAGACACTTTCTCTGAAAAGCAATTACTGGGAAGGGCTAGTTTTCACAAGCAAATGAGAGAAATAAATTGTGAAGGGGACAGCTGACAGAATATCACAAACAAATGAGCAGATCTGCTGTTGTATGTAAAACTGGGAGCTTGTGTTTGGGAACTGTGAGATAATCTCCCCACCATGAGGAATATCCTTCTTGCCTTGAACAGAGTGTGGGAGTATGGTGTCATGCTCAGGGCCTTGCAATATGAAGGTTTAGTTGTATCTGAGGTTTCATAACAATGACTTAGAAAGAGTCCTGAGGATGACTTCAAAGTAGAAGCAATGTCTCATGAGAGATGTTAAAAATATATACACAGGTTTGCATAGCCTGAGCAATTGTGGGATGAGGAAGAGCTTAATAATGCTCTTAACTAAGTGTGCCTCCCAAGAGAGGGATGAGAGAACAAGGATGTTTAAAAGAACTCTGTGAAAAGGCTCAGATCTAAGTTCAGGTTCCAATGACACCACAATCCGTGTGACCCCAAACAGGTTGCTCGACAGCAAGGTCCTCACCTGCCGAGACAGGGCACTGGATGATCTTTGAAGTGCCTTGTTTTATAGAAATCTTATCCTTCCTCTGTCACAGGACCTTAAACCCTCTGAGGAGCAGGGTCCCCCCTCTGAGGGACCTTAAACCCTCACAGGAGTGAATGAATCAACTAAGCCCACAGCTGTGGCTACCTCTCCTCATACACTCCTAATACGTTTTGTTTCTCTCAATTTTCCTGATTCTGATACTTGAGGTTTAGGTCCTGTACCTGGGGTGATGCCTCCAACATAATTTCCTGCGTTGTTTTGGATAACCTTGCTACAGCCATATTACTTTTTTGAAGACTAAACAGTAAGAAAAACAAGTGATGCCTGTCTCCACAAAAGAAACACCACTGGATGAAAGGCTGGCCCTGTGCAGATGTTCAGTGCAGCCTCCCCACCTGCAGAGGGCGCGAGCATCTGACAGTGCTGCTGCCGCTCACACGCTGCTCTGCCACGCGGCCTTGGTTCTTTTTTAAGGTTGTCAAGGGCCAGAATAGGACAGGCTCTAAATCACATACAAATATGCCTGTTTTCTTAACACACCTCCAAAAACTCAGATAAGCAGCCAGTTTGGCCAAGAATTGTCCAACCTTTAGCTAATGGAAAGGAAATGGAAAGACAAGTATATAAAAAGTCCCAGTTCCCAAAAGAATGTGACTTTCTAGTGATATAACAACTTTGCATGGGGGCCTGAGCTTTGACCTCCATGTCTAGAATCGGATGCACGTCTGAGTTCTTTTCGTTCATCCTGGTAGCCAGACAGATCCACACTTAAGCCCTTGGGTATCAGGCACTACTATACTAAGTAGGATTTAAGAGAACCTTAGATTCAAATTCTTCCATCTTTTACATTTGGTTTCCTAATGAGATAATCATGAACAAGAGGCGGAGACTATTCTTACAGGATAATAGGCTCTTCTTTACTGTTATATTTATTTTTTAAACTTTTAAAAAAGGTTTTATTTATTTTATGTTAGACAGAGGGGAAAGGAGGGAGGGAAACATCATTGTGTGGCCACCTCTTACACACCCCCTACTGATGACCTGGCCCACAACCCAGGCACACGCCCTGGCTGGGAATTGAAGTGGCCACGTTTTGATTCGCAGGCCAGCACTCAATTCTCTGAGCCACAGCAGCCAGGGCTGTTTTTTAATAGACTTTTTTTTTTTAATTTTGTTTCTGGTTTTGTTGTTAACGTTACTAGAAAATAAGAAATTTAAAAATGCAGTTCCGCAGATTAACCACCAGATGGTGCTGTGGGACCAAAGTATGGAGTCCACCACCCCTTAAAAAGTCAGTCCACAGTTAACTAATGTAACCAAGCACACTAGTTAATGTATTTTATAACTATAAACATAAATCTAAATAAATGGGCTAATTTAAATTGGTTTAACAGTATTTTATATTTATTTTTTAACTTTCTTCAGAGACTTAGAACCATGGCCTTCCTGTATCCAGGTAGTCCAGGTAAACCAGGTCCTCTTAACAGATTAGGTTCAGAGCAAACATTTAAACCTTTCTGGACTGCTACACATTTGGAGTAAGAGGTGAAGAGATTTCCTCATTTGTGGCAGTTACAGGGGCAGGCTGTATTAGTCACTAAGTAAACTCGAAACATTCTTACTGGAACTTACCCTTTTCTACAGAAAAGGCCTCTTATAAAGTGAGGAGCTCGCTAAAGGGTCCCAGCCAAAATGGAAAAAAGTGGCAACTGTGCTGACTTGAACGCACTAATGCTAAAAGTGAATCAGGCAAGCAGGAGACAGTGGGAACATTCAGGATCATCAGCACGAAGCCTGGTCTCCCCTGCCCGTCTTCACCTCCTGTGAGCCAGGCCTCCTCATCCCTGAGGTCCGGCTCCCGCCTCTACCAGTCCACTGACCACCTGCTTCCCAAGGTGACCGATAGCCTGTCAACTGCTGGACTGAATGGCATTTTCCACTTTCATTCCCCTTAACTCCTTTTCTAGTATGGGACATTCTAGGGTGTCTTCTAGAGAAACCTGCTCTTCTTCCTCCTTAGGTGCTCAATTCATCTCTTGGTTTTCTCCCCTCGCCCTGACTACCCCTCTGGCTCCACAGTCTCCCCTGACTTCTTCCGCTCCCTGAGCCCTCAGCCCTCTTCCTTCTGTGCTCCTCCTTAAGTTATCTCACTCACCCTAGGGCTAAGAAGTTATAGTTTTTCCAACACTGCCACAAAAGACCTGATCTAACATGTTTCCATTTGTTCATTCTCTCTCACTGCCTCTGCCTACCACCATCACCCTCTCACTCCCACACTTCTCCTGCCTGCTGAACATTTCCTCCTGAATAAATCAAACTCACCAAGGAGATTTTATACCATCGTCTTTCTGTTTTCATTATCTTTTGTATTTATTCAAAGATTTAGAATAACTTTCCTTTTAGAAATGTGACAGTTATTCATTGTAGGAGTTTTAGACAAAAAGACCCCAAGAAGAAATTAAAATTACACAAGTTTCACTCTCCACAGATAGCTACAACTAACATTTTGGCATGTGCCATTTCAGCCTTTATCCCATGTATACCTACTTTCAAAAAATTACCTGGGATCATACTACATATACTGTCTCATAATCTGCTGCCTGCATTTAATAATGCTGTGAATATTTTCCCCATGTCATTATTTATTCTTCTAGAATACTAGCTTCAATGGTTGTGTAGCATTGTACAGTCTATGGATTTATTTAAATACTTTGTTATTCATGAATATTGAATTAATTTTATTTTTCCATTACATAAATAATATATGACAATCATCTTTACTGCTTAATCTTTGTTCATGCCCTAATTATTTCCTTAAAAGTGAAATTGCTGGTCCAAAAGTATTTACTTTTTTTTAAAGTTTTGGTACAAATTGTCAGATTGCTCTCCAAAACATTTGGAGCACACTCCCACTAGAAGTGTTTGGAAATACTACTCTAAACCACATTTCACCTTTGTCCATGTTTGAGATTTGACAATGAAATATGATATCTAATTGTAATTTATATTTCTTTGAATGTGGTAAGGTTAAACTTTAAAAGAATGTAAATACTTCTCGGTGCCTTGTAATGCTCTTCTGTAAACGTGTGCGCAGGGTCTGGAGTGGGCCCAGGTGCTCACCGGCTGGACGAGCTTCGGAGAGCCACCTCATTGTTCCCAACTCCAGCATTTGCATCTGTAAAAAGGAACAATATTCATACCTACCCTCTAGGGCTGCTGTGAAGATGAAATGAGACAATGCAGACAAAATACTCTTGGCATGTAAGAGTATACAGTAAATGGTAGCTATTTCTTTTTTATGGGAATGGGGGGCTAGATTTCTATAGGGTTTTTGTCTTTTTCCTATTTGTAAAACTCCCTGTTCCAAATCACACAAGATAATAATAGCTACCACTCACTGAATACTTACTATAAGCCTGACACTGAGCTATTTGCACTGCATACAGTATCCCATTAAATACTCAGGACTGATTTCTATTTCTTCCCCAACCTTCATATCTAAGCAGTTCCCACGTACTGTTAGGTTACAAATTTGTCCAAACAGTCCCTTCCTCCCCCAAGGCAGTTCAGAACTAATGAGGTGTCCTCTGAACTGGACTGTATAATTCCAGACTCCTTCTCTGCCCAATTTCACTTTTACAGATACAAATGCCAGAAAAATGATCACTTTACAATTGCAATGGTATGACCAAAACCAGAATAATTTTTATGAAGTTCAGAATTTGCAAAGGTTCCCAATGACCATTTGACCAGCATTCAAAATGCTCCACAGTCCATTTCCGGCCTGTCTGGTCAGCCACAGCTCCCCTACTTCTACCCCCTCCCTCTACATAACCCCACTCTTACACACACACATGCATGCACACACACAGCACAGGCACACGTGCACATGCACATCGCCCACACAGCCTGGAACTTTCGTCACATGGCTCTGCGACCTGTGTCTTCCTTCATTTCTCCCACACATCCTGACAGCGCTGGCTGTGTCCCAGGCACAGTTCTCGGGGTTCCCCGTCCCTGTGCACATCCTATGGATCATGTTTCTCTCTGCTGCTAAATGATGAGCCCACGGTGGCCACCAGGAGTTGTTCTTTTTGCACAGCGATTAGCTCAGTTTCTTGTATACTGGTATGTAATTAATTGTTTGTAAACTTGAAAGCTGTGTCAGTACCTCTGTGCTGAAATTCAGGCTCAGAGGTTTGTAACAGGAAAGGATTTAAACCTAGAGGGGTGTGCAAGCAGGGGTATGTTGACAATAGAGTGGCTACTCACAGAGGTTTTAATAGACGAGATAAGAGAAGGGAGGAGGGGACAGGAAAAGGGGCAATAAGTAATAGGGAGGTACGAACTTTTTAATCCAAGAAAATTACGCCATGTCTTTAAGTCATCTGTCTGCTAGATAGACCTGCGTCCTTAAAGAAGAAAGATGAGATGAGAGAGGAAAGAAACTGATGCTTGCTGTGTTCTCTCAGTTACTCCTTCCAACGCCACCAGCAGGGAGTTGCTGTCAGTCCCACTTAAAGAAACTGGGGTTCAAGGATGGAAAACAACTTGACTCAGGCCGTATGGTGAGATGCTGGGAGAACTAGGATTCCTACCCAGTCTGTCTGGCTCCAGCATCTTTCTTATTTTCTCTTCGGTCTGAGGCTAGAGGGAAAAAAACCCTGAAACCTATTTGAACTATTTCTGTCTCTCAAATCCCATCCACAAACTCAGTCCACAGTTTTCATAAATGTTGTCTCAGGATCCCTGTGTCAGGTCCCCATGGATCCCATTTAAGCAGCTTAGCTCTGAAGAATTACTCTAACTCCAACACATGACCTTTCAAAGTGAATGAGCTACACCATTTTCTCTGCTTCTCGAGTTTCGCTTAAGCAAAGGGGATATTCGCAAGCATGCAGATCCTCTTTGGCCATTACCCTCAGCAACCTGCCTTAACTTTGAACTTCTCACCACCACTTACTGAAGGGCAATGACATGCCCAGAGATAGTCAGTGATTGGTGGCAGAGTTACTAAACATCTAGATTTCCTGATTTGTTCTTTTTACCTTGTCCTTTTCAGGATAAGATAAAAGACTTTGTTGTTCAGAGGCCTTCCTAAAAATAGCATGCAGTTATTCTTCGGGGAGGCTCAGGCTTATTTAAAAGAGGTTGCTTTTTTCTGGCATCCTTTGTTCCAGTCCCACACCCCCGCCCCCCCCTTCACTAGTTCCTGTCTCTCTACCCACTCTGACCATAACCCATTCTTAAGAGTGAGTCAATTTCAATGAAGTATTGCCTAGTAGTCACACCTGTTCCTTCCTCTCCACCTTGTCAGGGCCATGATCTTTTGGCAAGCATTTACTGGGCACCTAGTATGTGCCAGGTTCTGTGCAAGCAACTGGTCCTCATAATTTGATTTCCAGCCATCACCAGAGTTCCTGCTGTTGGATCTCCCAGTGTTAAGGCTTCCCTCTGAATCCATCTTCTGTATCCTGCTTTGTGAACAGATGCTCCACCCATTTGCGCACAGGATCATGTGCCCTCTAGATGCCTTTTGGACTCTGTCCTCTGCATGCAATCTGCACTCTACTACGTTCCACTCATTTGCTCCCCAGCATGCCATACACATTTCAACCTCTGTGTCTTACAGCTTTTTGAATTTCCAAACTCCACTCCATATATACTCAATAAATGTCCTGGGGCAAACTTTATTCCTGGGATGGCAGAGGAGGCTGCCCAGCTAATAGGTTCTAGTTAAGGAGGAGAATTGTCCTAACACTCATGCCTAAGAGGAGTCCAAATGACCCAGAATTAGGGATGAGAAGCAGTTATAACCATGTCTGTGCAGAGAAGTCCAATGACCTAAGAAACTTATGGTTCTTGACCCAAAGTGCTGCTAGGAGATGAGTTTCTTGGGCTACCTTGCTAAATCCTGAGATGAGAAATCCAATCAACTCACTCTCCCATTCATTCAGCCATTCAAAGGGATAGTTATTGGGTACCACCTACGTGCCAAGCATTGTGATGAGAGCCTGAGGAAAAATAGTGAAAAAGGTAAACACTTCCTGCCTTCCTGGAGCCTTTTAGTGAGTAAACACATCAATAAGTGAGCGGATAAAATAAAAACACGGGAGAAGTGTTAATAAAAAGAAAAACAAAGGGCTATGATGACGCAGAGTGGGATATGGAAATTGGAGATAGGAGGCGCTCTCAACCAAAGACGGTCTCTCTGGAGAAGAGACATTCACACTGAGATCAAAATGCCGAGAAGCCAAACACTCAAAGTGACATGCCAGGCCCTTGCAAGTGCATAAGCTACACCCCCGCCCCAGTGGAGGCCTATGCAGGCCAATAACCCCACACGCTTGCGTCTCATCCGTAGTTCATTTGTCCACTGAAAATGTCCAGCCCTTTCTATCAGAGCCAAAACAGGTTTCCTTTTGATTAAACAAACAGGTAAGACTTTTGGTTTATGGGCCTCTCGAGTGATTGGAATTTAAACCCCACCTATATATTTTTTCCACTGTGCTCTGTGATTTATTTCCAATTCAAATTTACATAATATTTCCAGAACCCAATACAGCACTCTGGTGATCTTTATCATTCTGTCTATTGAAAATAATTGTTTGTTACTTTTTAAAGTTGGTATATATCAGCTCTTAAGAAAATCTAGAAGTTGCTTTCCATACCTCGTTGATTAACTGGATCTTTAGCTACGTAGGCAACATAGTCTGTAGTATCCTATAAAAAAGGGAAAATGATTGCATTTAAAATGAATGGATTGTACTGTTGAAAGATAAGAGTACATTTGACATAATACTGAGGCAAGTGAGGCAAGGATTTAAATATTAATGTTAAGAGAAAAGAAAAGCATCTTAGGAGGAAACATAAACAAATATACACCATATAATTTAGTACTTGTGGGGTCCATGTTCTCTGCCCTTGAGCAGGGAATCTGAAGGTTAAAGATTAGAGGCAGACCATGTCATTAAGTTTAAAAGAGAACCCAGACAGGAAATATGTTAGGATATATGTGCTTTAAAAACTGTTAAGGGGCTGTGATTCTCTCCTGTGCTGAAAGGTGAAATACCAGGGGTTATGCCATCACAAAGGTTCATAAACAAGGATGTGGAATCATGATTTCCCAGTTGTCCAAGTAGACACCATGTACATCAGAAAGCAGAATAAAGAAAAACTTTTGGTTTTGTGGTAAATAGCTTGCTTTTATACAGTGCAAGTTAACTTAAGGAACAATAAAGCAAAAATACAAGCATTTATTTCATCAAGATAAAGAAAAATCATTTTTTTTAATAAACCCCCCCAAAACCTGAACAGTTAAAAAAAAGTACCCTGGCTGGTGTGGCCCAGTGGATTAAGTGCTGGCCTGTGAACCAAAAGGTCACTGGTTCGATTCCCAGTCAGGGCACAAGCCTGGGTTGTGGGCCAGGTCACCAGTGGGGTGTGTGAGAGGCAACCACATATTGATGTTTCTGTCCCTTTCTCCCTTCTCTCTAAAAAATAAATAAATAAAATCTTTTAAAAAATGTTTTTTAAAGACATTGTTTTTTTAAAAAACATTTTAACATTTTAAAAGAAATGTTTTTTTAAAAAACATTTAAAAAATGTTTTTTTTAAAAGATGTGTTGCTAACTTCGGAAAAACTAACAAATAAAAAGCCCCTTGGTAACTAATTTGTATTGAAAAGAGTAGGCTGATGGATGAATGATAAGATTTTAATAATTAAAGATGCTTTTTCTTATCTCAGTTCTCAGGAAAAAATACACACTGGCATTTGAAAATTAGAGTATAATTCTCCAGAGGGAAGGCACAATCAACTGGCAGGAAATAGAAGCCCATGTTCGTGACACCCTCAAAGACATCACTTAATAATCCACAACAAACCACACAGGAATGGGGACTCGGGATCAGCACAACTTCTCTTGACTTATTTAAAAAATAACACACATTTAAGTGAATTTCTGTTATGCAAAATGATAAAAGGTTTGAAATATCTTGTATATAATTAAGTTCATATCTATAGGCTTTGTTTTATATTAATTTAGAAGGAAAGCCACAATTTCTGGGGACTTGGTTGCTATTTTTAAAGTTACAGGAGTGGGGTGCTGCCCGCGATGTTGTCTGGTGTATTAGAGCCAGGAAAGAGGCCACGGGACCTCTCCAGACCTTGGTTTCCACATCTTCAAAGGAGTGTCCAACAGTCTTACAGTTCTAAAATTCTATTATCTGTAGATATCTGGGAGAGTTTAAAGAATGTTAAAAGTAAAGCACAAATAGTGGGGGAAACTCTATGAAAATGCATTTAATATGGTCATACTCATTAATGCATTTTGAGATGAACAAGGTGTATGTAGATACAGAAGCATTACCAAGAACTGTCTTCAGGGCTGATAGAAGGAAGACAAGTAAACTGTTTTTGAGAAGAGAGTAAAGGTGAGGATGAGTAAAGGTCATGAAAAGTAAGGAAGAATACCCAGCATTCTTTAGACTTTGGAGAAAATAGGGTAGAAAGAAGGGCTCTACATTAGGCCATGGAGACTTAGCTTCTGACCCCTTGTGCCCAGTTAGCTGTGAAGCTGCAAATCATCTCAGGGAGTGTCCTACAAATATATGGGCATGTGTTAGCAACACTGGTGATAGCTGTCCCTTATCACTCTGTGCCAGGCAGGATCAGTTTACACACATCATTTCACTCAATTCTCACAACACTGAGAGGCAAGGGTAATCCTTCCAAATTTTACAGGTGAGGACCCTGCAGCCTAGACAGGATAAATAAGTACAGTCTACTGGACTCCAAAGCTTGGCACTCTGCCCTACTACCTCCCTGACCTGAGAGTGAAACTTCACTGGGAGACCTCCACTGCTAAGGTTGTGGTGGCTCCAGTTTTAATTTCAAATCAGCAGGCTGTTGCCCCAGCTGTAGGAAGCACGGAAGTCCCACCCCATTCAGTATGAAAAACTTTCCCACAGGGACTACAAATTCTTTCCAGTTGTTTTTTGGTAGGGGCAATGCTTTTGTGGGTTGAAAGAACTGCAGAACTAAAGGCACATGAAGATAGTCTCAAAATAATTCAGATTCTGGGGAACTACGATAGACATCATGCAGGGCATACTTGTGAGAAATGCTTATGGTAAATAAAAGGATTTGCATACTAATCCTATGTATGACAGTAACCCTTGAAACTTGAAAGGGGAAATTTAAGGCAAACAGCAACAATTATTTTCCACACTACATTTATAGGACTCATTACTCGAAGTATCTTAAGGAAAATATTTTTGTTCCTTCATGGATGAATGAACCATAATGGGTTAGAAAGAGAAAAGAAAAGAAAATTCAGGCTGGATTCAGTCAGCTCTCTCTGCTACCAAACATGTCCCTTGGTGTCGCCGTGGGGCCCGATTACAGAGATGCAGGATTGGACGCAGATTCAGTCCTGGGCTCACACTGCAGCTGCTAACTGGCAGGCACCTTACATGTGCCATTTGCTAGTGAATTCACAATTAGTCATTTGTGAAATCTCTTAGAGAAAAGGTGGAACTCTAAAATTTGGTTTATTTTTAAGTGGTGGCACCATGAAACTAAAACATTCATTTGAAAATAACCATACCCAAAGCGGAAGGTGAGGAAGTAGTGAAGCCTAAAGGGAAAATTAAGTATCCATTAATAAAAGAAACAAAAAAAACAATGATTTAAAATCCTTTAAAGGTTGCTTCTCTCCCACAGTTTTCAAGGAAGCTCTAAAGGCAGGTTGTCAGGTTTGACGACATGGTTAAGTGCTGTGAGTCACTGGTAGCCAATAGAGAGGCCAGTACTTACTGAAATGTTTTAAAGAATGACTTGATTTAAATAGCGTTTAACTTCTTTTTTATATGTATTCCACATACATCCAAGTGGAGGAACTTGCTTAAACATTAGAAGCCAGTAAAGGAAGCAATGTTTACACAGAGAAACTTTAGAACTTTATTTGCTTTTAGGATACATTTATTTTTCCTTTAAATATTTAGCCTTGAGATCAAAATCAATCAAAACCCTGCAGTGACACCAGCTGCCAGATTTAGCTTTTACTACCATTCCATACCTCTCTTGGGATTCTAAGTTATGTGTCCTATCATTTATGACCCTAAATTTTATTCCTCATTTGGAAGAAAGAAACTAAATGTGGAGAGAAAAAATGAACTGTTAAAGTGAATTTCACTCCCTCATTTCTGAAGGACATACTCTTTAATAGTAAGTGCAGAGAAGGCAACAGGTTGTCCATAATGACAAGGACTTCCTTTGCTCCCCATGTTTTCCTGATGTTACTGATGTTTGATCGTTACAAAAGGCAGACCCTGCCCTCCTCTAACCTTCTCTATGTCCACGGGTACAAAGATATCACGATGTCACGATGTCATGGAGGAGCAAAGTCCTCCTTCTACTCCCTCAGTTTAAACAGGCTTCTCAGCTTTAACACCCCTCCGCTTTTGCTCTGGTCCAGAAACAATGCTGTACCAAATCAGGGAATGACCGTCCACTCTGCCAAGTAGGCTTGCAGAGAGAGTACCATTCATGGGAAATGAGTGCCACGTGGCCTCTTGGTAGAGACAAACCACTGTTCTCTCCCCACCTGAGTGTTACCTCCATGGGTTTCTGCAGACCTGCTAGCTCATTCTAGATTAGACTAAGTTGCCACATATGGTAGAGCAGCTTCCCCTCATATGCCAAATCCAACTGATCAGTAGCATCTGCCTGCAACTCCACATGGAGGAGAATTCTGAGCAAGGACTGGCAACACATGTATGACACACTTGTTTTTCCTGATTTTGATGTTATCTACAAAAAACTTCTCAGATTATAACTCTGTAGCTACTACCACAATGGAATATTATTAGCTTACCTACTAATCCAAATATTTTAAAAATCAGTGACAGGACATATTTTGTCAAAACCAAATTTTTGATTACCTGCTACATGTAACTTTTCACAAATTCTAATAAGAGATTTGGAAAGGACATGTAGTGGCTAATACACTTTACATGGAAGTTCTTTTACCTCTTATAAAAAGAACTTTTATGAATCCATACTTACAGGATCCCCTCCAGAGGCAAATGAAATAGACTGCATATGATGATTTGCAATAATCTGGAAAACATAACAAATTAAACATGTATGATGCTATAAATTAATTAGTCCTGGTTACACACAATCTAACAGTAACAGATGTACATGTTTCATTTTGGCTCGGACAGAGTCCTTTGAAACCCCTCCACCCACATTCTATAATCGACTCACTTTGACCCTGAGATGCAGGTGGGTTTGACATGCCCATCTCATTGGCCCTCTCCTTGCAGGTGGACACATGATCCAGCCCTAGCCAATTAGAAAATATTTGAATACATCACGGCCAATCAGTATCTTTGGGGAGAAACTGACAGGGACAAAAGGAAAGGATACCTCTCTCTCTGCCATTAAAGACCATGTAAGCCCAGAATTTCTGTGAGCCATCTTTTGCTGGCATGCGGAAAAACCTCACTGGAAAAATGATGCTTTACCTCTGGAGAAAATCAGCTGAGAATTAAAAATAGAATGAAGTCTGGTGGAAACATTGTTTCATCATTTCAACCAATATGATTCCTATCTTCCTTTATCTTTTTCTTTTTATTAACTAACTTATCTTTATATAAATTAGTTTGAATTGGGTTTCAGTCATTTGCCATGAGAAGTATCCTAGAGAACTAACATTAAGATTTCCAATATGAACTAACATTATGTAAGTGAACTGCATTACTTAGCCAAGAACACTATCTTTTTTACATGAGATTCTAGGATTACTTGTTTGCAATACCCACAGTGTAACAACCAATTTGCAGAGATGTATTTATCATACTGTATTTGTCATACAGTTGAAAGTTCATTGAAATACCAACTGTGTACCTATTAACTAATCTCATCTTCACAGGTGTTTAACAGAATATACTAAAGTAGCTTATAGAAAATGACCAGGCAATTCTACTCCTAAATGTATGTATATCCAACAGAACTGTGTATATATGTGCACCGAAGGCATGCTAAAGAAAGACAATCACTGCCCTCTTCATAATAGAGTGCAACTGTAATGATATTCAAACAATGAACTACCACATAGCAACACTGTTTCTTCAGCAAAAGTAGCCAGACACAGAAAAAAAATACAGGCTGTGTGGTTTCATTTACACAAAGTTCAAAAACAGGCAAAACTATTTTATTCTGCTTGAAGTCAGGACAGTGGTTACTTCCGGGCAAAGAAGAGACAGCAAGAGGTTTTCTGGGAAGAAATGGTGTTGCTTCGTCTGGGTAGTAGTTACACAAGTATGTTCACTTTGTGATAATCTTCACGTGTGCACTTTTCTCTATTTACATTTCAGTTAAATTGATTACTAAAAACAAATCAATACAGAAAGATCAATGTCATTCCTATATATGAGCAATAGCCTATTAGACACTGTATTTTGGAGGGTAGAGGGAGGCACATTTTACAAAAGTACCTATATATAAGTCTTGGAGGAATTGTTCAAACATTTTTGGAAAACCTCGTCAAAGGGTGTAAATATTACCTGAACAAGTAAAAAGATATATATCCCCTTTATGGATTAGAAGATAATATTGTAAAGATGTCAATTTTCCCCTAAATTAATGTGTAATTTCCATGCAATTCCAATAAAAATTCCACCAATGTCTTCAGGGAACTTTTCATGCTGTTCTAAAATTCACATGGAAGAATACATGTGCAAAAAAAGCTAAAGAAATTTTTTTTGAAGAACAAAAAGACTAGACTCTCCTTATTAGCAAAGCATATTATAAAACTAGAAATTCCTTAGAATATGAAGTCTAAAAACAGACTCACATAGTCATGGATTTTTAGTCTATGATAAATGTTGCACCAGACAAAAGTACAAGTGATTAAATTAGTGGAACTGGACACACACACACACACACACACACACACACACACAAATGGGAAAAAAATATAAATAAACCCTGTCTTCATATGATCTGTATAAATGTTTGATTCATAAAAGGTTTATAAATATACCAGGAGACTGATAAAAGATTATGCGTGTGATCTTTGAGACAGGAAAAACCCATCTTAGTAGACAGAAAAAGGCATACAAAAAACCTCTTAAATTAGATTATATAAAGACTCTTTTTAAAACTTTTTATAAGACCCCTAAAGAGGACAAACAACAGTAGAGTACATTTGCAACATGTAAAACAAAGTATTCATATAAGAGTTTATAAGAAATTTGTATGCATCAATAAGAAAAAAATAAACTCAATGTAAGACCAGTTAATTTTCAGAAGTAATACAAATGTTCAATAAATATATTGAAAAATAATCTCCAAGAAGTGAAGACTATTCAAAATAAAGCAAGATACATTAAATTGATAAAACTGTCGAGTTCAATGCAATCATGTGTGGCAAGGGTGTGGATATTCTCAAACACCGTTAGCTAGAACTTAAATTTGCACAGCAACTTTGGAAAGCAATTTGACGGTATTTACTACAACTAAAGTGTTTATACCCAGACTCTACCTTTCTGCTTCTAGGTATTTATTCTAGAGAAATACTGGCACACGTGGACATTCATTTAGCCAGTTTTAGTATCAGTAAATCAGAAATTATTTTTACACAGACAGGTCAACCATGGCATAGGTGTACAAAAGGAATGGTATGAAAAAATACATATACTAACAAAGCTAAATCTTCAAGACAATGCTGAGGTGTTTGTTTTACAAGTTGAAGACAGTTACATGAGACATAATAAAAAACCAAGATTTTTCAGTGAGAATTTAATATCCATGTAAATGCAAAGAAAAAGGATTTAAAGAATACACAACAAACTGATAATAATGGAAAATTGCCTCTTGCGAAAAGAAATGGAACCAAGTGTTTTCTCACTTTTTTTAAAAGAGCACAGATAATATGCTTAGAAATGAGTTTAACTTTTTCTAATGAGGATCCGTTCTTAACATGTTGATTTGTGGTTGAGAACACTGTGGGATTTGGAAGTGTGGACTTGGAAGCTACTACTACCAGACAACAGGTAGTTAAAATCGCGGAGCAGATCGCCAGACGTGGAGGGAGGAAGGAAACGGGAAGGAGGACAACATAGCGAGTTACAGCAAGCCCCTATTTCCCCGTTTTGTAGCATCGAGGGTTAAGGAAAAGGGAAACGAAGTGACGCTCTTCCATACACAGTCTTAAGATACGAATTCGATCGAACAAAATATACACCACCAAGCCAAGCTGACAATTTCCTGCGAAGGAGCAAGCCACTCCCCTCCCGAGCAGCACGCCGAGTGGGCGGTGGAATATGGGGGTCACGCAAACGCCGAGGGTCGCGCACGCTCTTTGCGCACACCGTTTGCGCACGCGCACAATCGCGAGGCAGCATCGCTCGGATCCTGCAGAAAACGCCTTGCAAGAGGTTGAGCCGCTGGTATCATGTCGGAAATGCAGCGGTTGTCCGAGCTCTATGAAGAAAGCAATGACCTGCAGATGGATGTGATGCCTGGCGAGAGTAACCTTCCACGGATGGAGGTAGGCCGTGCGAGCCGGGCGACGTCCGAGAACTCTTCCCGCAACCGGGCCCCGCCACAGCTCGAGGAGGACGGCCTAATGGAGGAGGAGGGGACCCTGCCAATGGCGAGGCCAGAGGGCGACCGAGGCCTTGCCAAGCGGCCCAGCCCCGGGGAGCAGCCAGGCCAGGCTGCTGGCCTTGACTTCGATGAGAGCGAGGGTGAGGAATTTGATGACTGGGAAGATGACTACGATTATCCAGAAGAGGAGCAGCTGAATGGTGCAGGTTACAGAGTATCCACGGCCCTTGAAGGAGCCAACAAGATGTTTCTGGGAACGTCCAGAGCAAGAGAAGCAGCTCTGGATGGTGGTTTTCAGATGCATCAAGAGAAGACCCCATTTGATCAGTTGGCTTTTATTGAAGAGCTTTTTTCACTTATGGTTGTCAATCGTCTGACCGAAGAACTGGGATGTGATGAGATTATTGATAGAGAATAGTTAAATGCAGTTAAAGAGGAGGAAACTACTTGAGGAAGGACCCAAAATTCCAGTGTCTCGGGTTTATTCCAGATAGTTCTGTGCCAACGAAAAAGTTGATCTTCAAAAAAAAATGTTTTTCTGTTTTGCAGAATAGACTGGGTAGTGACTGTACAGTTGTGGAAAAAAAAAACTGTTAAAGAAAAAGGATGTTAGGACTGTTGAAACTTGTTTTCAAGAATATCCTGAAACACCTATGGCTTTGACTTTGTTATTGATCCAGATTTTCTTTGCATTGGGGAAAATTCCATATATCACTGTAAGGAATGATTTTGCAAGAATAAGTCAAGACCAAGACAAATTGCCAGTACAAGAGCTAATTACTGATACTAAGTACAAGAGGAAAAGTAGTATGTCCAACTTAAAACACCAGATGTCTTTGAGTTACTTGGACAGGAAGCCTATTGAGAAAACTTTGAAGGTTCCACTTCGTGATCTGTCCAAGCTATAGTTATCAAAGGCTAAATTTTTAGTGTATGACAATTGAACCACCTTAGTATTGCAGAAGGGTAAGCAAACCCAGAAAGAAATATGTTTCATGTGTAATGTATCTTAACATGTTTCCAAGGGCATCTGAAATTGTATTTGTACATATATCTTGATCAATAATAAAGCTACTGTGATCTGTAATTCAAGAAAATTCATTATCTTGATCATTTTTTAAAAGTCAGAAATGAAATCTTAAATTTTCACATTCAGACATTAAAAATATGTGTAAAAGTACAAAGAAAACTATTTCTAATACTCTCATATCTTAGGGAAATTTTGTTTTATCTCTCTGGTTTTCATTGAACTTTACAGGGAAAAGACTGGTTGAACTTCATAATAAAAGAAGTATTAAGTGGAAGTTGTCAAGTAAAGGAAGGCCCTACATTGAAAAAAGATGTTATGAACAATTATGCCATCAACCTTTAAAGGTTTTAAACCTGTCCAGAAATTTCTGAAGTTTCCTTCTGTCTCCTCCTCTAATTAAGCTTGTTATTGGTTATGCACCAGCATTTGAGACAATAAAATTTCTTGGTCTGTGTATTTTATTTGCCTAATAGTTACTATTGTATACATACTTTATATACTATTTTTATTGTATCCTGCTTTTTAAGTGTTATTGCAACCACATTATGATTTAAATTTAACCACTATAAGGTAAAGTGTTCCAGCTTCAAATACATGATTTGCAACTTAATTTGTGGAAACTAAATTTAGTAAGTTCCTATAAGAGAATTTGCTAACCTGGGAAAATTAGTGAGCATATTGCTGTGGTTATTTTATTAGTGTTCTAAAGTTCTCTGATAATTATGTCATAAGGCTATGAGCAGTAAAACTGAGTATATCAGCAGGTCTTATGATCAATAAAAAGGTACTAGGTGTTCCTGCCCCATTATGGTAGCAAAAGACACATCTGATACAACACAACTTGGAACCTTACAGAGGGGATTTGTTTTCTGTAAAACATGAGGACTGACAAGGATGAGCATAATCACTAACACTAGTTTGGTGGGGAGGAAGAGAGAGATGGGGGGACTAGATAGGAAGTAACAAACTTAATCCTGTCTCACTTCTTTGGCTACACTTTCAGACAGCCTGTAACTGCAGTGACATGAGTCTGTGGATGAAGAGTCAGTTGCCTGTGTGATGTGAATTAATGGTACTCTGAGAAGAAAAAGAGGATGCCAGTATACAATGAACTGACCAGCTACATTTACCTCCAGATAAAGATGACAGGAAAGAGGCTCAGAAAAATCAGGTCTGCACACCTGGAGGTGGGACAGAAGCAAGAGAAGGGGAAAAGAAAACCACTCCCTGTTGGGTTTGAAGGCTTGTTTTGCAGAAAAAGAACTGCATTCTGCAATTGACACTGAATGGTTGATTGTTGGTCTTAAAAATAGGCAGTGAACTGAGAGACTACTGAAATTAATACTTGGTAATTTACTGAAGGTAGAAAATGGTAACATATTTAACACCCCTGTTAAGGGTATAAAATCACTTGTATTTCTATTATATATTAAAGTTATCACGGACTGGAACCAACCTACCTGATTCAAATCTAGGCTCCACTACTTACTAGCTTTGTAACTAGGTATATTACCTAATATTTCTTCCTTATGGTCCTGAATTGAAAACAGGGATAATTAGATATGTGTATATCTTCATTAAATGGGAACTAAGGAAAGGATTTTCAGGAAATTCTGTTTCTGATTTTGTGATGTGGGGAGAGGGAACTTAAAGAAGTTTATGAGTATGTCGTGATTTTGGGAGCATTTTCTGGATCTATTCATAAATATTACAGATGTTTGGTTAAATCAGATATCCTACATCAGCTGCCCTAAGGACACAAGTCTTTTGTTTGGCTCATACCTCTAATTTTAATTTTTTTTAAGATTTTATTTAGTTATTTTTAGAGAGAGGGGGAGGGAGGGAGAAAGGAGAGAAACACAGTGTGTGGATGCCTCTTGCACACCCCCTACTGGGTACCTGGCCTGCAACCCAGGCATTGCCCTGACTAGAATCAAATCGGCAACCCTTTGATTTGCAGGCCAGCACTCAATCCACTGAGCCACACCAGTGAGGGCTAATTTTAATTTTTTAATAATTTTTAATTATTTGTTATTTTATTGTTTATGCTATTATAGTTGTCCCACTTTTTGCCCCATTGCCCCCCTCCACCCTACCTGCCCTCACTTTCATAGTCAGTCCCCTCACCATTGTCCATGTCCATTCGTCCGTCATACATGTTCTTTGACTAGTCCCTTCACCTTCTTTCAGTCAGTCCCTGCTTCCCCCTTTTACTGCTGTCAGTCTGTTCCATAATTCTGTGCCTCTGGTTCTGTTTTGCTTATTAGATTCCTCTTACATGTGAGATCATATGGTATTTGTCTTTCACCAACTGACTTATTTCACTTAGCATAATAGTCTGCAGTTCTGTCCATGCTGTTGCAAAAGGCAGGAGTTCCTTTCTTTGTACTGCATATTATTCCATTGTGTAAATGTACCATTTTTTTTTATCTACTCATCTACTGATGGGCACTTAGGCTGTTTCAAAATCTTGGCTATTGTAAATAGTGCTGGCATGAACATTTGGATGCATATATTATTTTGAATCAATGTTTCAGGGTTCTTCAGGTATGTTCCCAGCAGTGGAATTACTAGATCAAAAGGCAGTTCCATCTTTAATTTTTTTTAGGAAATTCCATACTGTTCATCTTAGTGGCTGCACCAGTCTACATTCCCACCAACAGTGCACTAAGGTTCCCCTTTCTTCACAACCTCACCAACACTTGTTTGTTGATTTTTTTAACAATGGCCATTCTGACTGGTGTAAGGTGGTATCTCACTGTGGTTTTAATTTGCATCTCCCTGATGGCTAGTGATGTTTAGCATTTTTTTTTCATATGTCTCTGGGCCCTCTGTATGTCCTCCTTAGACAATGTCCTCCTCAGGTCCTTTGTCCACTTTTTAATTGTATTATTTGTCTTCCTGGTGTTGAGTCTTATAATTCTTTATATATTTTTGAGATTAAACCATTGTTCAATGTATCATTGGCCAATATGTTCTCCCGTGCAGTCAGTTCCTCTTTCATTTTGATGATGGCTTCTTTAGCTGTGCAGAAGCTTTTTAATTTGATGTAGTCCCATTCATTTATTTTTTTCCTTTTATTTCCCTTGCCCTAGGAGATATATTGGCAGAAATACTGCTACACAAGATATCTGAAATTTCACTGCCTATGTTTTTCTCTAGGATTTTTATGACATATTTAAATCTTTCATCCGTTTTGATAATTTTAATTTCTTAATTAAAAACCAACACTTAAGAAAGCAGTAAAACTCACAAGTTCCCATCTTTCCCCATCTTCTCCCCTGCCCCCAAAAGTGGAAGATCTGGCAGTGCTTGACCTATACTGACATGGGAAAAAGCATCTGATTCACTTTTACGTAGGGAAGGTCTGTTTGCCATGTTCCCCAACATTGTCTTGGTGGTATGGAGTCCAAGTGACACTCAGCATTTATCACTGCGCCTGCGCCACTGTTTTTTCTTGTACCTGAACACTGCATTACCTGCCTGGCCTCTGTAAATATGTGAGACTAAAGGATGTCTCTATTTTCTGCTTGTTTTACCCTCCTTATCTTCTCAGTTTCAGTAGCTGTTAGAGTTGGTGGTAGAAGATGTAGAAATGAATAAAGAAATAGTAACTGGAAGCTACTGAGACTGACAGTGTTGCTTAAGGCCCTAAAATACTATATTAAAGTATGTCAAGGAATCCTGTTACTTGAATTTTTATAACAAGGAGTATACAATAAGAAAAAAACCCTGTAGCTTTTCCAAAATGTATTTTGCCATCCCCAAATATAGTAAGTTTTTAAAACTGTAAGCATTAAGTGTTTAGTTTTATTTCCTGCCTCTGAGGTTCTATCAGACATTTTCTGGAAGTGAACGGTTACATTTTCAAAGTTTTCAGTGGCTGAAAATAAACATGAACCATCTGACCCATAAATCTAGATGGATACATTGATGATCCATATCATCAGTGTATCTATAAACTCGAACCTGTTTATGTTTTCAGTCCAGAGTATATCTTAGAAGTGAAAGGGCGGGAAGCATTAGTATATCTTTGTGTTTATCTTAGAACTTCAAAAGGTTGCTTTTTTAAAGAAGAATATAATTAATAAATCCTTTGCTCATGCTGCATCATAAAGTCGCCTTCATCCTTCAAACCCTTTGGTTGCCCTTTTGATGGAACATATAAAGCTTCTTGAGTTTAAGTATCTGGAGTGTGGCACATCGTTTTGTACGCCTCCCCACAAGCCATTTCTCCCAGGCCTGCAGAATACTTTCAAATTATTTGAACTATTAGGTATCAGTGAGATCCTAATTTTAGTCCCCATTCCATGCAGTGAGCTGATCACATCCCCATTCCATGCCACCAGTGAAGAAAAGGTGTGATCCACTCCCAGAGGCACCTCATTGTTACAACTATCGGTAGCAGAAGGCACCCAAGCCCACTGCCCCTCCTTCTGTCCTGCCAGAACGATTATGGGTTTGTGGCAATTCTACCTCCAATTGCAGTGACCTGGGGGGAAAAGGTAGTGGAGGAGAAAGAAATTCTGAAAGTAAACTATACCCACCACAACCCTATTATTCCTAAATTCCCGATTCTTCAAGCACACTGTGAAAAAAAGCCACTTTTTGGAATGCTCATTAGATTCTACATGTAAGGCTGTCACCATATTGGCTCCTGCTCTGCCTGCTTCCCTACAATACTCAAATAATTCAAGGGCTCCCATGTTCAATGACATCTCATAACTAAAAGCATTAAGCATGGCTGGAACCATATGCATGGATGAAAACTAAAAATAAATTTTAAATCTATGAATGACTTGAAGGTAAAGCATATGAAATACTGAAGGAATGTTTTACCTTCCACCCCGATATGTTGCATCTTTTAAGTACAGCCCAAATGTTCTGCTGTCAATATACCAATGGTATCCCCTCTCTGGAATAACCAATGAGGACCCAGCTGGACAGAAATCTATTTTGATCTGTTTCATGTTAAGCACTTTCCTCTATGATGATTTATACTACCGTGAAACCAATATATTTTATTCTGCTTTTGAAGTTAGAAAATAAAACAGCCCTCAAAACTGCAAATGAATTTTTTGGCAAAAAATGAAAGTTAAAATGTATATAACTATACTTATATGTTAAAGACAATTCTATAACTTTATATAGTATGTTTCCCTTGTTAAGTACTGAGTATATGAAAAGGTATCAAAGAATGTTGGGGTAAATAATAATAATAATGGGTATCATATGACTGGCACTGTGTTAAGTGATTCACATCCATGATCTTACCTCATCCCCTGAATAACCCTGTGAGACATACAGTTGCTAAATCCATCCCCTCAGAGACTCTATGAATAGGTCCTGTAGCCCTCGTTTCACTGATGAGGAAAATTCAGTGGTAGGGTAGCTTGCTCATTCATAGCAAAGCCAAGATTTCAACCCATGTATGACCTCAAAATCTCTTTAACTGTTTTATCACTGGCAAGTACACATTAAATCTTCCATGAGTCCCTGATTAACAGCACTCTGTACAGTAAAACTTAAATGTTAAAAATCTCAAATCACTACAAATTAGATAAAAACTGGACTAACCCACATAAGTAAGCTGATACAAGGAAGTTAGTTTCAAAAGTAAAAATCAAGTCAAAACATGTCCTATTTTAAGGTACACAGTTAGCCCAATGCCTGTATATTTCAGCAATGCTGTTCTTTGAGAAATAAGGTTAACAGTGAAAACTCAGGCACACCGTAGTATCATAAATCATCAAAGATAAGAAAATTATGTTTTTACAATAACATTTTAGAAAGCTTTCAACCTCAAGGGTTGTAGGAAAATGTTTTCTGCTTAAATTTCATTTAGCTAGAACATTAACCCTAATATCACTCCTCTTCTGTCCTTAATTCTGATAATGAAATTGCTTTTTCTTCAGAGAGGGTTGGTGGAGAGGAATAAATGACTGATTCAAGGACAGAAGTTACCAAATGCTGTTTGCTATATTCTTTGCACCTTGGTTCTTATTACAAAATTAGTTAGGTAAAGGGAAAGTATGCAAGCAGTCAAATGGCCCTGTGATGGGTTAGAAATGCTGTTCTAATTTTTGTTATGTATAAATCCTTCGCAGGTTTTTTCCCCTCTGCCTTAGTAAATTAGGTACAGTCTGTCTGAAACTTTATTTTCTTTATTATGCCCAGGCTCCCCCAGAGAAATAGATAATATGTTAATCTATAAATGACATCCATGATCTTACCTGTTGGTTGTCAAGATTCATCAGTGTGAGGCTGCATGTTGAGATGGTCAGTTTTATATTCATTCCCGAAAACTGAAGATTACTTTTGCCAAGAACTGTTGATAGGAACTTAACTGGAGGCTTTAAAAAGAACAAATGACACTCTTTAAGTTTGAATTTTTGTTACAGAATGAATGTTCTTTTGTTAAAAAAAGTGAAATGAGAGGAAATGATTATTTATTAAAAACATTTTAAAAATTAGAATACTGTAAATTCTTTAGTGAAATCTGAGCCCTCAGAACTTTTCTCATACATTCCTTTCTCCCCAAGTATTGGGACTAGGGATCTGGTTTACATAAAAGGAATTCCTGTGACAATTTGGACTAGCTGAACTCTCAAGTCCTTTTGGACACCACAAGTATTAGAAAAAGAAAAAGTTGCTGCCTAGGTTTCTTGTGATGACCAAGAATATGAAAAACAATATACAAAAACTTGTAGGATGCAGCAGTGCTTACGCAGAGAATTTATAGCTATAAACACATCAAAAAAGAAGAAAGATCCTAAATAAGCAACCTAGCTTTACAACTGAAAGAACTTGAAAAAATAAACCAAACCTAAAGCTAGCAGACGGAAAGAACAAAAATGGAGACTGGAGCACAAATGATAGAAAGATTAGAAAAAAAAAGAGAAAATCAACAAAACCAAAAGTTGGTCCTTCACAAAGGTCAAAATTGACAAAGCTTTAGTTAGATGGACTAATAAAAAGAGAAGATTTACATAACCAAGATCAGAAATGAAAGTGGGGATTTTACTGCTGATTCAACAGAAATAAAAAGAATTAAGAGTATTATAAACAATTGGATGCCAACAAGTTGGATTACCTAGATGAGATGAACATATTCCTAGAAACATTAAACCTACCAAGACTAAATCATGAACACACAGAAAATCTGGATAGACCTATAACTGGTCAAAACAAACAAGTGTTGACAAGGAGATGGGCAAACAGAAATCCTGTGCACTATTGGTATGAATGTAAAATGGTGCAACCACTATAGAAAACGATATGGCAGTTCCTCAAAAAAACTAAAAACAGAATTACTATATGACCTAGCAATTGCACCTCTTGTTATACACCCCAAAAACTGAAAGCAGAGACTTGAACCAATATTTGGATCTCTGTATTCCTAGCAGCATGATTCATATTAGCTAAAATGTAGAAGCAACCCAAGTGTGCATCAATAAATAAATGTATAAACAAAATGCATTATGTACATACAATGGTATATTCAGTCTTAAAAAGAAATTCTGATACATGCTACAACATGGATGAACTCTGAGGACATTATGCTAAGTGAAAAAGATAAATACAGTGTGAGTCCACTTACATGAAGTACTCATAGTCAAAATCACAGAGACAGGAAGTAGAATGGTGGATGAAGTGCAATTCCTATTGCCTGTTTTCTTTATCCCAATAAAGCAGAGTTCCTTTCTCTCTCATTCTCTCCTCCCTCCCCCCCAACACATGCACACGCACGGTGGAATGGAGAAGAGAGGAATGGGAAGTTATTGTTTACTGGGCATAGAGTTGTGGTTTTACAAGATGAAAAGAGGTCTGGAGATGGTGATGTTGATTGTGCAACAACATGAAAGTACTTTATGTCACTAAACTGTACACTTAAAAATGGTTAATAGGTAAACTTTATATTACATATATTTTAGCACAGTTTAGACCCAGGCCTGGGTTTTTATTTTCCTTTGAACATGGTCTTTCCTCTCTCTGAGACTCCATTCTTGTTCCTGTAGGTACGGTGCTGAACCAGATGGGCAGTTCGGTGCAAAAGAAAGTATAAAAAATAAAAAGTGATTGGAAGAGTCTGTGGCATGTATTATTCAATAAATGATAGCTTATAAAAATTAAAAATTTTTTTTATTCTTTAAAGGTGTACTTTTTGGAACAGTAACAGCTTGGTTTGTTTTGTCTTATGTTTTGGCGTGTAGGCTCCCTACTCCTGAAGTGAGAAAGTCTTAAATGAATGAGCTTGTTTCTTGGGATCATCCAGTTGACGCGTCCTGTTCATAGAGGTTCTGAGAAGAAGGAGGATGCTGAAGGCTACTTGGTGGCCATGGGTTCCATCAAAGAAACTAGCAATAGGCAGTTCTAATTCAAAGGACATCTGTCAGAGTTTTCCATACCATGTGGCTCATCTGAGTCATTCTGAGTTACTCTAGGTTCAGCTCTATGCAAAATGATGAGGAATGATGATGAACGAGGCAGGGTGGCATGGAGATAGAGCACAAAGATGGGAATCTGAAGACCTGGCTCTACCGCACGCTCTGATCTTCATCATCCTGTGGCACAAGGCAAATCCCTGCTCGGGACCACAGCTTAGAAGCTGCCAAAATGAGACGGTTGGACTGGAAAATACCTAAAAATTCTTCCCTCTTAAACAGTTCACATTTCTATGATTTATATAGTTATCTTAAGAGCCTTTACATCCCTTTTGGACTTTTCAAAGCAACTAAACATTCTAGGTTTAAGAGCTTAATGACAATAATTCTAATTACCATTGCTGTTGAAAGTCTAAAATGTGTCAGACACTGTGTTAGGTACTCTGTAGACATCATTTCATTGAACTCTTACACAACTCTATAAAGTAAGTGCTATTTCCCCCAATTTTACAGATGAGGAAACCAAGGACCCAAAGCGTAAAGTGACGAAGTGACTTATCCAAGTTCACACAGTTAGTTAGTAGTGTTAAAGAGAAAAACCACAGGCCCCAAATGGAGTCACTTGTGCTAAAGCCCATGACACTGAACCTAAAGGTAATGCCTGGCCTCACTGCAGTTTCAGCTTCTCCAGGAATGCAGTCTTAACCTGTCAATCTGGAATTTTCTGGTCAGAACCAATGAGATAATCTCTCATATGGGCCCTCAGCATCCTGAAAAGGAAACTGAGGCAATCTGCCTGATGAGAGCCCCACTTTTCCCTAATGGAAGGTAACCTTGCCTAAAATAGTACTTTCTTTTGGTCTTTTTTGCTAATAACTTTCTCGTCCGGCACAGTTTCTGTCTATAAAATCCTTCTAAATTGCACAGCTTCTTGGAGCATCTCTCTGTTTATCAGATGGGGTGCTGCCCGACTCATGAATCACTCAGTAAGGCCAATTTGATCTTCAAATTTACTTGATTGAGTTTTTGTTCTTTAAAAGGAGGAGGCAGAGGCAGGATTTAAACCCAAGTCTAACTTCAAAACTTGTGCTCTTTTGTCATGAAAAGCTCCTTCTATGTGTGTCTTATCATCTCACCTGTACCAGCACCCAAGTTTCCATTTGAAAATAGGACAAGGAACTGAAAAGTCTAAAATGTGAAAATGCAGAATACATACATTATGTAATACTCAAATTGGAAGGCACCGAACTGGCCATCTGATTCAGCACCGTAGCTACAGGAACAAGAATGGAGTCTCAGAGAGAGGAAAGACCATGTTCAAAGGAAAATAAAGACCCAGGCCTGGACCCCAGATTTTCTGGTTCGAAACCCAAGTGCTTCCTCCGCTGCCACTCTAGGCACCACCATTTAAGACAGTGTCAGGCACATCAGGAAGATTGTAGGGAGGAGCGCAACTTTGAGTTGCATCTCTAAGATTACGCCAACTAATGAAGGCCATCCTGGACCTTACCTCATATGGTGGAATGGACTAACAACTATTTTGATATCATCTTTCCCATAGTTGGGAGAATATAAAATAAGAAACCCACACCAATATTTACCTTTCGCTTTTTTATGGCTCCATGTGCCCCAGGGACAGCTTCACACAGGCGACTTATTGCTTCCCTATGGGACGAAAACCATATAAAGACTTAGCGCACTATCTGTCGTGCAGTAAATGTTCAGTAAATGTTAGCAAGCATTATGAATAAAATGTACACACATATAACGGTGATCCTGAAGTAAACAATTTTCCCCTGCCCTCATAGGAGATAATAATCATGCTTAGTACTTCTGCAGTTCAAACCTAAGAAAACCCAGCAATGCCCTAATACTGAAAAATTGCTTTACAAGAAGCAGTTCCACCATTCACCTTCATCTCTTGTTTTTCCCTTATATTTTCAGGTTTGGTTTTAGTGTTGTTGATTTGTAAACAAAAAGGAAGGGCAGGATTTGACTGGGAATATTTTGCAGTTTACCTTTAGCATCATCCTCTCTGTGGCATTATGAATAAAAAGCTTCACAGTATCTCAGCACCAAAGACAATTAAATAGAAAAGAACCTGACACTAGAGGAAGTTGGAAAGGATAGGGAGAGAGGTGAACTTCTAGGTGGTCTCAAATGGAGCCTTATTGACTAAATTACTACAACAAGCCATTGAGCTTTCATGTAATTTCACAGAAGAAAAGAAAATCAATAACAAATTTCCTCCTTTGCTTATTTTTCTGCCTTACTATATATTGGACTTCCTGAGAGAAAGGCACCACTAAAATAAGCAGTCGTTCCTTAATGGAGGTGGTGAACGAGCTGGCGCCCTCCTCTCCAGAAATGCAGTTAGGACTAAGAGCTTTTGTCTCTGGGACTCAGCATTCATAACCACCCGAGCTTTCACTCGCGTAACACGAACCCTCATCATGTGGCTTTCAATGCATATATTAAACTTTTCACAAAACAAATGGAAATCTCTAAGCTCTTTTCCAGATCCCCTAGAGGTCATTGTTTAAATTAGTAAACTATATTAACACACACACTATGTTTTTATATATATATATATTGTATTTCATCAAAATATTTTCTATGAGATGTTTTAGAAGGGAGGAGCAGTCAGAGGAGAGAGAGAGACAGAGGTAGAGATAGAGGTAGAGAGACAGAGATGAGCAGAATTCCCAAAAATTCTAGGCATCATTCTGATTTCTAATGTATGTTTTAGTTCCAATTCTTTTTTTTTTCTGGATAAATGAAACTCTTCTCAAGGTATTATCTTGTCAGCTTTTTTCAAAAGTACCTGCAACCAAAAGATAGAATAACTTTATGGTTTAGCATATGTTCTTGGGATTTTATATTTATTGTTTCTCTAGAATTCCAAACTTTGTCTCTGCAGTCAAACAGAAAGATAATAGACAGGGTTGGACTGTTTTCTATGGTTGGTTGATGTTTTCAGTCATCTTAATGATTAATCAATAATGGATGAGGCATATATAATTGATCCAAATTGAGCTCTGGTAGTACCAAAGTAACTAGTGCAGGCACCCCACTACGTTTTTGGTGTTTAATAAAGAAGTATTTATAAGAATGGTATTATCGGGCCCTTTACTCCACGAGAGCCTACTGGTCTACTGGAGTGCTTTGGTCTAAAAGGCTCCTTATAAATGGTTTGCAATAAAGGTAGAAACAAAGGTGGACATTGATGCTGCTAAGTATAATAATAGTTATTATTAGAAGTTGTTACTTTTTACTTTTTATATAGTACCCTGTGGTTTTATAGAGTGCTTCCCAGACATTGTTTTTTTTAATTCTCATACCAATAGTCAATATGCTCTAACAAAAAGTAAAGCTGAGAATTTGAATTAAAGCGAGTGCTTTATAGCATGAGTAGCTCTCGAGTGTTTGGAAGGATGGACCTTCCTGGCAGAGTGGAGTTTGGGAATTCTGCACAGAAGGAAGATTCTGTGCAAGGATACCAAAACATAATGATCACAATACGAGGGAAACTACAAGTCCTCTGTGACTTGCTAGAGCATAAAGTGAGGTAGAGCGAGAGTGAATAAGGGCTCACTGGAGTCTGAAAACTTCTTTGGTAAAGGACGAGACAGGATGTATTTTAGAGTTTACTTGTTGCAGCTACTCATCTCTGCCATCATAACTCAAATTCTCTTGATAGACAACTTTGCTCAGAAGAAAAAAGGAAACTTGTGCTTATGAACTTGCTTTTAAAAAATGGTTACAGTGTACACCATGTTCCTAACAGCACTATTCACAATAGCTAAAACATAGAAGCAGCCCAAGTGTCCATGTGTAGATGAATGGATAAGCAAATTGTGGTACCGTACATATAGACAGTGGAATATTACTCAGCCTTAAAAAGGAAGGATATTCTGCAATATGCTACAATGTGGATAAACCTTGAGGACACTATGTTAAGTGAAAAAAGCCTGTCACAAAAGGACAAACTGCACATGATTCCACTTACAGGAGGTATGTGGAGTGGTCGAAATCATAAAGACAGAGAGGAGACTGGTGGTGCTGGGGCCGGGGGGGAGGGGAGAATTGGGAGTTACTGTTGAATGGGTACAGGCTTTCAGTTTTATAAGGTGAAGAGAATGATGGGGTTGGATGATAATGATGGCTGCAAAACAATAAGAATTTATTTAATAGCACTGACTATACACTTACAAATGTGTTAAGATGGTAAATTTTACATTGTGTGTATTTTACCACAATGAACAAAGAAAAAATATCAAAAAGTAGTTATTAATTTGAGACTCTGAAGAGAGTCACAAACTCTCTCTCCAGTAAAAGGCCTGTTCGTACAAACTTTTCGATCAGAGGGCCCAGCCCCCACCCCCCCACCATCACCCCCAGAAAACCATTTGTGGGCCTCTCGGGAATCTACAGATCCCTGGTTAAGAACCACCGCTTTAAAATAACTTCTCAAATTCTGCTTTCTTTGCTGATATCAGTGTTAACACATCTCCTGAAACTCCAGCCGGGAAGACAGATACATGCCTGCATTTTGTTGCCTTTCTTTACAAAGGTCTTTTCTTCCCCTGACACCAGGACCAAGAGGTTGACTGTAATATTTTCAAGAACAAACAGTACTTTCAATGCTTTTATGAAGTTTCAGCTACCCCCTCCGACCTAAAGCACTGACTTTACAAATGCTGAGGAAAAAGAAAACAGAGAACCCCACGCACGGATTTCTCGCAGTACTGGGGGTGCCCCCGCCACCCCCAGCTGCCCAAGCAGCCTGCATTTCTGCATCACCCTTTTTCGGAGCTGACCTACTCTGAAATATTCTCCAGCTAGCAAACCTGCAGCAAACATCTTCCCTTAGAGGAGCAGAACTTTTGGAGTTTAAAGGACTAAAGATTTCCACCCTGGGAGCCTGTGCTGGAGGGAAGGCGGGAGGAACGCCCACGGCACCAACAGTGGCCACTTTGTTTATTGTTTTGCCACAGGAGCGGGAAGGGAAAAAGTGGGCTGATGTAAGAGAATGAGAATGCAATTGAAGATTGGCTTTTAAGCATATAAAACCCGGCCTACGCCATAAGACCAAAAAAAGATATTTTGTCTGTCTTAACAGAGTCCAAACTAATCATGCAAACAAAGCCACCTTTCTTCATCAACCCACGGTCGCTACAGTACTGAAGTTACAATTTTTCTGTGTCTTTAACCCTTAAACAGTTAAGCTCCTGTGGAAGCAATGGTGCCTAAATCCTCCCCCCTCCCCTTTATTTTTAAGTTTGGAAGGCAGTATCACAATCCAAGACAAAGTGGAGCATTTACTGGGGGGTGGGGCTGTGGGACAAATTGTTTCTAGTGAATGTCAAAATGCACTTCTTCAGTAAATAGGAAAGCCAGAAAATGTGTAACACGAAACCAGGCAAATAGCCCACTGGAGTGGTTACAGGCAGCTCTCCCACCTTCCACCACACACATACACACACACACACACACACACACACACACCCGAGTGAAGGAGCAGCTTCAGTTTTGTCCAGGCCAACAGAAATGAGAATAAATTTTAATTATAGTCAGACCCTTTCCAAAACAAGGATCAAAAAGACTTAGGCAGACAAAGCCTAAATTTTCCCAATTTCACCCGTATTTCCCAGGGCACTTTCCTTTCCTTATCATTCCAACGTGAATCCTTAAGGAAATCGGTGACCAATATGGAAGGGACAACTGTCACTTGAAGGCCTCAAACAGCCTTCATATTGATAAATGAGGGGATGTGTAATTCAGACTGCACATCAGTGTGGTATTATGTTGTTCTGATTGTTCTAGGGAAACTAGGACCTTTTTAAAAAATCTCTGCCTTTAGAACATGAAGGCTCAGTGATCCACGTGTTCAATTTCATTCAGCTTGGTGAAACTGAAGTCGCCCCAGAACTTGTGCGAGCCCTCAGACAGGACACTTTAGAACAGGAGCCGGCCTCCATGGCGATAAGCACACAATGAATTCAGTCAATGCCCAGAGAACAGCTGAAAACCGAAAGCTTCAAACTCCCTTTGTGGTGCTATCAAAGGCATCGCCCAGGCACTCTAGGAGGGTAGACTCAGCCCATAAAGTACATCCTCTCACTTTAGAAAGGGGTGCTTCGGTCCCAGGGTGGTCAAATAAAACCCTCCAGTATGGCCCACAGCATCTATTCTCACACTGACTTATCACACTGCTCCATTCAGCCTGAATCATATTTAAAATCTGATTCTAAAGTACATTTGCAATTCTACCCTGCTCCAGCAACCACAAAACACAGGTTGCTCTGTCCACTCCGTCATTCTGCCCTTTGGCTCTGATGCAAATGTTGACGCATCTATTGCACTTTAACGAAGCAAAAAGACCATCCTGTCCCCACCATGGCACCTCCCCTACAAGTCTCCCCTTAGTGAACAGAAGTCATTTTCTCCTATCCTGACAACGATTTCCTGTTGTCACATATTTCAAAATGCAAACACATGTAACTGCAAACTGATGACTTACACACCTTCAAACTATTTAAGCCCTATGAAAATGACGCCAGAGAAATGGGGTTGATTTCATATGAAACACACTGGAATTTGTAAATCCAAAAGACTCTTCTCCTTTACCTTAAGATAAACTGGATTTTTCTAAAACTACTCTG